AGTTCTACTGTATATTCAGTAAACTGACCTAGAATTGATTCGATAATCAGTATTTCTGTTTTTGACCAAAAGTATTCGGGGTCGAGGAATCCGAATCTGTAGTCACAATTTCAAAATTTTGAGTTTGACTTTTTTCATCATGGATATTTTTTTTTATAAAAAGTTATCCTTTTTGCAAAAAAGTCATACTCAGAGTTTTGAAGTTTTGATTACAGATTCGTCTTCCTCGGCTCCGAAAAACCTTTGGCTGAAAACAGAAATACTGATTGTCGAATTAATTCTAGGTCAGTTTATTGAATATCCAGCAGAGTGGATACCCAGTTGGACCAGTAATCCAGTCGGGTCTGAAACTGGTGTATACCTACTGAGAATCGATTTGAAGAGGTAGACACTTCTTTTTGTATAAAAGCTAAGAATTATCCAACTGTTTACTTTACATGTATAGATTAAAATAAATCCTTCAAAAGTCAATTTTTACAATACATAACTGGAAAAAATTAGCTAAAAAGGGCATCACCTAGAATCAAAGACCGTATTAATAGTCGATATTAATTCAGTTAGTTGATAAAGAGCGGTCACATAACAAGCTCTGTCTTTAAAGAATAATCGTTCTATTAGCAAATATCTGACAAGAGTAAAAGCTTAGAAATCTTTGCATAATCATCAGTTGAAAATAGAGTAGAAAAGTAATTGGACTAACTTTAAAACTCATCTGCAGTATGTGATATCCGGCATACCTACAGTTCGTCTTCTACTTTCATCCCATACAATTCGTCCCAATTACAATTTGCCCGAATTACATTTTGTTCCAAATTATGACTATGGATTAACTTTACAGCAATGTGAAAGAAATTTATTTAAATAAACTCAAGTGCTTATTTTCAAGTTCATAGTAATGCGAGTTCAATATTCTTCAATATTATTGGCATTATAAGACAACGATTCTTTTCAATCTTACATCAAGATTTGCATAAATTTTTCTCTTTTTCTTTGGTTGTCCACCTGCACGAAGTCGTTCAATGTCGATCTCGAATTTAGACTGTTCACGTAAAATACATTTAGTAAGTTTAATAAAAGAAGAATGTTTGATTGAGACAGTATTATTAAATGCATGATACCATCCTTCAACGGCATTATTCGATCGCGGCAAGTCTTATATAACTCACTGGTTGATATTCTACAACTGCAAGCTAAATTTTGGTTTACTACATCGACTACCTAAATTAACATTGTACGCTATTAAGTTTGTCAAACCAATATGTTTAAATTGACACGTACCTCGTCCTTTTCTTTGTCCTACCCACACTCTTTCGAAATGATCAAGTGGATTATAATCTTCTTCATCAAAATCATTCATGATCGATGAATAACCTTTAATGACATCCAAAGTAGATACGAATGTAAGAGTCATAAGTTTTTTCGCGTTCATTCTAAAGTTACCATCATTAGAATAATTGTTTTGAAGATCTAATGATTGTACTTCTCGCCACAAACATTGTCCAAAATGAAATAGACAACCTATGTTCATAGCAAAAGTAATTTTAGAGTGACAAAAAATTTGTATATCAAATAACCTATTTGAATATCATCAGGAAGCATTACTTTAGTTGATTTCAGCGTAGCACTTTCAAAATCAACTAGAATACATTAATGTTCATATTCATAATGCAACAACAACTGTTGAAAAAAATTATTATAATCTTTTATTTCTTTTCGAATAAGTAAATCATATACAAGTGGAATAATTTGAAGTGAATACATTTCATGAACCGTAAATGGTTGATGATAACTTTTTGGACAAATCTAAATAAGTGAATTTTATATAAACAATGGAAAAAAAATTACGCTTGCACTAAAAGTCCTATCCATAAACCAGTGTTTACATTCCTTTAAAGCTAATAGATTTCTGTCACATGTAAATATATCTATTGAATCATCGTCAAGCAAGACGAAATCTTCGCCTTGATCAGTTTGTCGTAACAACAGAGGTAAACAATCATAATAATAAAGTTGCATTGCTGGACATTCACGACGAATTGTTTGCAATAATGTGTCATTTGTCGGTAGACTAGGAATGCTAGTCAATGGAATCGTACGTAACACATTAAATAATATGGTACTAGCTTCTTCATCCGACGATGCACCACGAATTTTAGGTTCATTTTTAAGTCGAATAATGGGAAATCGATCTGGATCAGGTACATGAGAATGGTCAGATGGTGATTTAATGAACACTTTCATCTGGATATTCGTATGACAACGACGTAGAAAAAATCTCCATCAAAGATAAAAGATTAGATTTAATGATTTATACCTACTTCTACAATTTCGATCTTCACGACCAAAAATTCACTCTTCTTCTGTTATTCGATGTTGAGCGTACACATATCCCGAAAAATATACCGTTGGATTTCTTCGAGAGCTCTTTGACACCTTAATTGATTCCATTCTTTAAACTGTTACGTGAATTTGTTCGAGATGAGAACAACTGGTAATACACTTGATCAGATGAAAAAAAAAGAAATTAATTTGGACAAACATGTTGAATGGGAAAAGGACATCTAGTCATTCTTGATTGGTTTTTTAAAATCGCGATGATTCACTATACACAACGATAAGTATATACACAATATCTGTTTTTCAATAATTGTAAAGATTGATCTTAGTAAAATTATAGGTTAAAATGAAAATCGGACGAAATGTAATTTGGACGAACTATAAATGGAACGAATTGTAATTGGGACGAATAGTAAGAGGACGCAATGTCATGTACCGAAATGAGTGACCACCGTGATATCCATATTCAATAAAAATTCCTTAAAACTTATAATTTTAAAACATTTTGTTTTATGTGGCAAATTACTTATTTATATTTTTTTCGAGTTCGAATGCTTATATTTTGAAATACATTTTCCAAAAAAAACTAACTTTCAGGCTAGATCAATAGAAGTCTTATTTAAAAGTAATATGTAGTTTCGCTGACTAATTTCTAAATTTGTGGATTTCATTAATAATTTAATGAAAACGAAAGGACTTGTATTTTGTATGAATCAATCTGAAAATTGATATAATATTGTACTTATATGTCTTTTTCTAGTCGTGATTCTAGCCGAGAAACTGTTCGTCATCGTTTTGGTTTTGCATCTCATAAATATCATAAACAATGTTCAACGAAACATCTCTCATTTGTTTAACTGATCATGCATTCAACAAAGCATATGAGTCCATTTTAATTTTACAAAAGTTTCGCTGCTTTTCTGGACCTGATCAAATGAAACAATATCAAAAATTATATTCTTTATGAATTATAACAATTAAAAATTGACGATAAAATATTTGACGTTGTAATTGATAACGATGGTGACATTAAAATAGCCATTAATGAGATATTAAACACTGTCAACGTCTTTCATGTATTTCACATGACATAAATTTTGTTGTCTAGCATGCTGCGGAACTAGAGGAAGCATCCGAAGAAAAAAGTAAGTTTTTCTTCTCTCGAAATGGAGAGCAGAATATCTTTTTCAGAGTATTAGTGAAAGAACAAAGGAATTCAATCAGTTAATCATAATGATAAAATATAGTTCTTCGCTATTCACGAACTGAAGTCGACATATGTTTGTTAACTAATAACGGATGATAGTGAAATATCTTGACATGATTTTTTAAGTCAGCTGAACCGACATTTAATAAATATTTTAATTCCTATATAATTGAAATATGGTCTTTCGAATATTTTTTGAATAAGCCAAATAGACTAAAGCAGAATATATTTTACAAACACTACGTATATCAATTTTCTTTAATATTCTAAAAGTAAATTAAAACGAAACAAATTTAATTTGATTATGAAAAGAAGTATTAAAAGTTACTTGTTTTTATGATAACTTCTATACTAAATCTCTTCACATAAAGACGGTGTAACTTATGAGATTGTTACTGGATCCATGTAGCAACAACTTCTTATGTCGTGACATTATTGATGATAATTCGAAAAGCCGTTTTTTACTTTCATTTTAGAAAACAAGTACCATGAACAGCAACATATACATTTGATTACAATTCAAAAAGTGAAGGCGGTGCAAAGTCGAATTCAAATCAAATCGACGTGTGTAAAGAGGTTGAAGATGATGAAAATAATTCAGAAAATGAAAATTTGAGCTATAGTGAAGGACACTCTGATATTAATGGTGGCATTACCGAAGATAAATCCATCTTTGATGCTAAAAGTGAAGCTGAAGATGATCAAATGTATGAAAAACGTAAAGGCGAAAAACATGATGATGAAGAATTAATTCAACAATGAAGTACTCCGCACTTGGTTTGTTAATTAGTTAGGTGAGCATGCGCCTTTGCTGGTAACAATAGTAGTTTACGAGCTATTAATGATTATGTCAAAAGATAAGCAAGGTTCAACGAACCACTCATCAAATTCGGGCTTGTTACTGATTTTGAAATTCGACGAAACAGCACATTTATTATGATTGGTCACTTCAGCATTTATTGTTCCATCATCGATAGCATCAATAGCCGACCATTTAAGGTTTCTTATAGTAGTACAGCACAACAATTAAAGCTTTGTTTAAAACAGTTTGAATTTACTAATGACGACTGGTTTCGAATAACTGATTTATCATAGAGTAGTAAAGCGATTTCTTATGGCTACAAATACCATTTCTGCAAAAAAATATTCTACATTGGCAATAACTTATTCTGGTTAGTTACATATACCAACATGATTAAGAAATTATTTAGCATGGCAAACTAAGTTTTCAAGCGTACAAAATATTTTTGCCAACGCGTGTCTCATTTTGTAGTTCAATACGCTTTATGTTATCTTTATTGAATACATTTGAAAATGATTCAATGTGGCTCAAACCTCTTAAAAGTTTGTCTTCATGAAAAGTTTGAACTTTGCTTCGATGGAAAAATGGGACAAAACCAAAAAGATCTTAGTCTGGTAAGTTATAAGTTTGCTATTTTTAATCGTCAACATCGTTCTCAGCGCCATTGATTGATACATCATAGATATAACAGAACTAATTAATAAAGCTTTGGCTAAAAAAGTTTCTATATTCAGTCTTCATTATTCCTTGATTGCTACAACACCAGAAGACTGAAAAAAGATCGATTGCTAGCATGAACAAAAAAAGCGAAAACTTTATCTAAACTTGAGCTCTATTCTCATAGATCGAGTTTGACTATTGGCCAAAGCCTTTTTCTTTTCGGGAGTATTTGATGTTTGACAATCATTACAATGATGAAATTGATTTGTATCGATCATACTGCAGGGTTAGTTAGAGAGCTATTGCTATCTTAATGTAATGAAGTATTCTTTTACAAGAACAATTGATCATATAACTTAATTAACTGTACTTATTCTGTGGGAGAGATAATGATCTTCATTTAAAAAAATGTAAAATGTTTTAAAAGAGCCACTCTTTTATATGTTATTTCGGTAGAAATGCTATATTTTATAAATTCTTTCAAAAATTTGCGCTCAAAAAGTTATGAAATATAAAATAAAGTCTCTTTTCCTAACGTTTCACAGACATTTTTCTTTAAAACTTAATTTTTTGTAAGTTATGAATAATTATGCACGCATCTGCTAATTTTTTTCTGTTTTCCTTTCAGTCGAAGTGAATACATTTGAACACTTAAAAACTAGTCTTCTGGCTATTTGAATGGCAATTTTGGAAGCTCAAATAATCCAACACCGGCTTGATCAAAATTTTAGATATCTTTCTATTAATTTCTTGCTAATACAAGCAAATTCGTATGAAACAAAAGCTGTCCTTGAGGTAGCCTTTCAACTGAAAAAATAGTCACTCTTGCAGCTATCAATAGTGTTTCATAAGTTTCTATCCCATATGTAGTGCTTGTGTTTCTTTGCAGCATTTATAGGGCACAAGCGTGGAAAACCTATAGATGTAAAGTACCATACAAAGTATCTTCAAAAAGAATTGTATTCAATTTTCATTAAAACAAGTAAAATGATATATTCCTAAACCTATACAAAAACTTATTAGATTTCTTTTTTTGTTACGGTTTTATAATCATGTCTGAAAAATATAAATATGACGATTGAGCTTACTCGAGAGTTATAGTGGTTCAATAACAATGGGCACGAGAACTTAAATCTTATACGAAAAAAATTATTAAAAAGAAATCAGTTCAATAAAAGATGTTATGTTTATCAATACATCACTCTCCCATTTTCGACACAGAATGTATGCAATTTTCGGTTTCGATACTAGTTTTACCACTATCTTTCAAAAATAAATATTCCAACAAGTGTCCATCGTTAGATTGTGCAAAGATACAAAAACAGAGCAGGGGAAAATACATTATATACCATTATTTCATCAACTGTAACGTTTATCTACCTGTCTAAGAGTAGTTTTCACCCAATATCGTACTGGCGAATTCTACACAGTGATGTCTAAATACTTAACACATTCACCCCGACGGGTCCCACCGGTGGGACCCGCTCGGTCCTCACAAGAAACTTAATAGAAAACCAGTTTCTGTTCCTTTGTTGTTCAGTGAAAAACATTAGGTAGTGTGTCATCTAGTCGGTCTTGCTACTGTTCAAGTTATTTATTACATAGAATGATGTTTTTCATTAAAGCAATCAAGACAAAAAAAAGTATCACAATCAGAACAGAAA